TGAACAGTGGCGGGTCCCATCATTTACCCTCTTTGCCCTCAGGCTTTTCCTTCAAGTCTCTGCCACAGTGAGCAGAGCACAACTTAGCAGCCTGGGGTCTCAACCCGCAATTCACGTCTGAAGTCCTCGTCCGTCTTCATTTCCTCAGCTCCATCCCCAAAGGCTCGGCTAATCCTATGTAGAGAGAGGATGCTGAAAAGGACAAGATTTTCCCTTTTGAGCATCTTCTCAGTGCCTGGCACATGCTAAGACCTTCCAGTGGCGTATGAGATCCGAGCAACAGAGCTAACACTTGCTATGACCATCCCCATTTTATAGGTGAGCACATGGAGGTTTCTAGGTGCTAAGTAGCTTGGTCCAGACAACACGGCTGATTAAGTGCCAGTATCAGGTCAAGCCCTGTCTCCCACTTCACATCAACTCTGAGGGACCCCCAGGATCCTGCCAGGCGACTCCACTGGGTGGGTCACCTGAGAGCTTGGCAGACAAGCTCCATGATAGCTGATGTTCCTCTCTGCCCTCCCTCCCGCTTTGCACAGACTCAGTCTCCCTTGGGGGCTCGAAGGCGTGCCCCCATTTGTCCCCTGGGCCCACAGAGCTGCATCCTCCAGTAGCAAAGAGGTTCTGAAGCATCTGTTCTTGGAGCCTGGGTCCTGGGGGAGTCCTGGGCCTCCCTGCCCGGCTGCGGCCAGATGGAGAAGGCTCCCACGCCTCCAGCCTTCCCGAACAGTCAGGCGGGGTCTCCTCCTCCTCACTCAGCACTGAAGGCTGGAAAATGGCGTGCAGGCCTGGCACTTGCAGGCAGAAGACCTGACGTGCCTCCACAGCCACGTGGGAAGCCTTCTGGGCTTCCCCGGGCTGAGGTTCCCACTTCACCTTCCCCTTTCTTGTTCCTCTCTGCTCTGGGTTTCGCTGCACGCCGCGGGAAAGGGCGATGCGGACCCGGGACTGTCTTTATGAGGGACCTATCAGAGCTGACATGCCTGTGAGATGGGGCTGGGGTGCTGGGGTGCTGGGCAGCGCTAGGGTGGAGTCAGTCCAGCCTGGTCAGTTAATACTGACCGACTCCCAGGAAATGTACGGGTTGTCCTGCCTCGCCAGGGGCAGCCGTGACTGCTGTCCCCACTCTGCGCTGGCCCCTGTCAGGGCCTCCCGAGATCTGACTCAAGGAGTGGCGTCTTGCTTGGGAAATTGGGGACGTGTTTCTCCTTCTGGAGACTTTCCCTTTGCATTGGCAGGGATGAGGGCTGTGGAAACCCAGGATGAACTGGCTCCTACCCCGGGTTTCCCAGGTTTTAGTGGGGAATCTTGGTACCTGTCATGTGCAGAGCAAGGTAATCCTGTGAGTTAAGACAGCAACTCCCTGTTTGGGTCTACATTCATGGGTCTACATTTCTGGAAAGGGGAACCAGAAAGGAGGGCCTGTCCAGGCCGGGGCTCCCTGGGACTGCAGGTTTCGGCCCTCAGTCTGTTCCTGTGCTGGGTGTTTCCAGCACATACTCAGCTCCTGCGGTTCTGCGTCCCAGCCAGAACTTGAGTGAGGGTGTCTGGTCTGGAGCCAAGGAGCTGCCCTGAGGAGTCTGTTTCATCCCTGAGGGCTCACTTGTCTATAAACAGAACATTTCCCCAGACAGTGATCTGAAGAGGGGCCCTGATTGGGAGGAAGGTCAGAATGGTCGTCTTTGAGCCCATCCAGAAACCCTGGGCAGGGGGGTTCCTTGGGCAAATGGTGTGTGTGTTGGAGGGGCATTGAGGGCCCTACCCAGTGTTTAGACTGAGGGGCTAAGTTGATACCAGTGCCCTAAACCAGCACAGTAAAGTCAAGAAAAAGCAGCTTGGAGCCCTCCTTGGGGGTGCAACAGGTTAAAGCATAGCATTGAGAAGCTGTCATGGCCACTGCAGCATGAGTTCAATCCCCGGCTGACCCACATGGCGCGGCAGACCTCTCCTGACCCGCCCGCTGCTCCCCTCAGCAGTGTACTTTATCAATCTGCCTATTCTGTTCCCTACTCTGTCTCTGGTGACTCCTCTCACCCACCACACCTCTGGCCTGTACCCCAATTCTGTATGCATAAATAAATACACCTTAAAAAAAGAAAAGAAGAGCCAGCTTGGAGGGAGGCAGGAGTCCCATCAGGGAAAGGCTGACCTCGAGGTGTGGGCTGCCCAGGGCCACAGGTAGCGGAAGCAGAGGAGGGAGCTGGGACTTAAGCAGAGACTGGGGTGGGCCCACGCTGTGGACGTGACCCCGAAGCTGCAGCTGAAGCACAATGAGCGTGAAAAGACCGGAGTGTTCTAGCCAGAGAGAAACCGGGGTGGGGACGGAGCCCCCACGGCCCAGGGCAGGTGTGCAGGGAGTCGCCTTGCCCACTGACAAAGGGGACGAGGAGTGGATGGTCAGGAGTGGATGGTCAGTCTCAATGGCTGGGAGAACCCAGAACTCCAAGTCAGGGTCCTAAAGAAGGCAGATGCAGCCGAGAACTGGGAACTCCAGAGTGGCCTGAGTGACAGAGAAGTTGGGGGCGGTGCTGGGAAGCCGAAGCCAGGCTGACGCAGACTGGGCGTGCTGAAAGGGGGCCAGTGGGCACCTCTTAGTTCAGAGAAACGGGAAGAAGAATCCAGTGCAGGACCGATGATGGAGGAGGGGCTGGTCGCCGGGACCCCCTTCTCCAGACAAAAATCTGTGCACACCCCGTCTGTACATGCAGAAGCAGAGCTGCTCTGGTGGAAGAAGTTTGTGGGGGCCCCAGGGCTCCGCCTGCCTTCTAGAGCCCCGTGGCAGCCCCGGACTCCAGGCCCGTTGGCCTAAGGCTCCTTGGTTTTAGGGATGAGACCTGACGGCCAAAGCCATGGAGAGTTCGCAGGCAGAGTGAGGACTTTCAGCTCCCCTTCCCTCACCCCTGTGCCTCATCCAGAGTGTCTGATTCTGCACTGATTCCTTCAACAAACACTTACTGAGTGTGAAGATGTGCCAGGCTCTGGCATTGCGTGTGCAGGGCCTGGGGGGTGGGGTGGGGTGTGCAGGGCTTGTTTCTGAG